GTGAGATTGAAAGTTAAAGGGGGAAATAAAAAAGGTAAAGTTGGTTTTGGTCAAAAAAGAAAAGAACTAAAAAAAAAGAAAAAAAAACCAATAGCAAAAATATGAAATTCAAAGTGTGCTGAATACGATGTGATGTGAGTTCCGTGGCCCGAAAGCTCACTCCGTCTCCTGCCCACCACCCCTACCACCCCTCAGGGACCCAGACACAGCCCCACTGGGCAGGGGCGGCCGAGAGGCCCCAGTGGTGGGGCTCGCCCAAGGCCAGCCCGCAGGTCACCAGTGGAGCCTGGATGAGCGCACATCTTCCTGGAGACCCCACGCCCAGGTCACCCCTCAGCTGACACCAGGACCCGCCTGCCCACCTGTCCCAGCTCCTCAGTCTGAGCTGACGGGGACGCTGGGGTTTGGGCCAGCCACTCCTTCGCAGCAAGAGCGTCCTGCCTGGGGCCAATCAACGCAGAGGCGGCCAAGCAGTCAAGGCCAAGAGTTAGCACTGCCCTTTCCCTCACTCGATCCTGGGTATCGTGAGCACAGGTCACAGTGGCCAGGCTTGCACAGTGCTGCCCCAGGCACCTCCTGCTGGCCCCCAAGTAGGTTCCATCAGGGAGTTGGGGGTTTCCGGAGGAGACCTCTTGTTGAGCTGGCTTGGAAGGAGCTGGGATTCAAACCTCAACTGCCACCTGTGTAGCCACCTCCATGTGCCTCTGAAAGCCCACAGGACAGGTCTAGATGGGGACCACACCCCCTGCACTCACCTGGTTCCTGATCTGCCGATGCATCAGGTCCTTCTTCACCTGGAGAGCCTCAAACGCGGCCTTCTGCATGGCGCTCTGTAACAGAGATCACGGCCGCTGAGGGGCCCCAGCGGGGAAACAACATCTGCGCCAAAGACACCTTCACGTGGGACTTTCTGTTTCTTAGAGAGACGACAACTCTTCAGCTCACTTGTTTAAATTTTTCAAATAATCTTTATTAATGGCTTACTACATGCTGGACACCATGCTCCGGGCTCTCCCAGCCTTGCACACAAAACAAGTGAGGACATGGCTGCTCTCACTGCCTGTTTCGCAGATGAGGAAGGTGGGGTTCGGAGAAGTGAACCTGCTGACCCTAGCATGCGTCTGCCCAGCCCCGAGCCTCACCTTAAGCACAAGGCCAGCCACCCTCTCTAAGGAACAGAGCACTTTCCTCAGACAATCTCGCAAATACTAAGTTAAATCATTTTGGAAGAAGAGAGAGATTGGAGCTGGGGAGAAGGGGGATGGTGACGATGGACTGAGGAGTGACAGGATGACATCACGGAGGAAGACAGGAGGGAGGTGACGTGAGGGTCGAGGAACGAGACTCCAACAGGGATGGTGGGGAAAGCTGAGACCAAACAGTATGGACACGAGAGGGAGGGAATCATGGGGGTCCTTCTTCATCTCATCTACTCTGCAGCAACACGGAGGATCTACTAGGCGTCAGCTAAGACAGAAGGAGAGCAGACGGAGGGGCAGCGGGACTGGAAGCAAGAAGACCTGTGGGCTCGCTCTGCGGTGTGGTCACCGCCATGTCCTGCCCACTAAGTCCTCACAGTGGAGCCCCACGCAGCATGGGGAGCAGGTGCCCCGGGAAGGGTGCCTCCCCAGACTTCAGTAACCAGAAGTTACCACTCAGAGAGGCCTTCCCCTGCCCCTCACCCTGATGGTTTGTACGTTTCTAACTCTCTAAGCTTCTTGGTTCTCACATACTACCCAGGACAGGGCTTCCACGTGGAGGCCTGGTGCTCTGCCCCAGGCTCCCTGAGCCCCTTCTGTGCCCCCGCCCTCACACCCTGGGCTCACCTCCTGCAGGATCTGGCTGATGGCTTTGTTCTGATCCATCTGTTGCCATGACAAAATCTGCTGGAACCGCTCATCCATCTCAGCCATGCTGCCAGAAAGACAGCAAATTCATTCACTCTCTGAACATTTCCTGAGCACCTACTACGTGCCAGGCACCTTGGAGGAGATGAAGATAAACCATTTACTCATTTAACAATACTTATGGAGCACCTGCTGGGGCCATGTCCTGGGCTGGGCATGGACAAAGTTTTGTCTGATCCCATGGCCCTGGAAGGAGGGTGATGGAGCCTCTGTGTCTCCAGAGCTAGAGGAGACAATCTCCCAGGCCCTGTCATCCACCCCTCGACCGGAATCCTCTTTACGACGTCCCTGAAGCGCCTGCATGGCCTCTGCCCACCCACCTCCACTGACGGGGAGCTCACGAGCTCCTGGGTGAGCCACTCAGGCTGCGAGAATGCTGTCCTTCCCGGCACTGATGTCTGCCCCACCCTAGCATCTCTCGTCCTGGACATGCTCTCATCCCCCAGAACAAGGCTAGTGACTCTGGCACAAAAATCCAAACTCTGCAACCTTACATATGGCCACACTTTGGTACAAGCTTGGTTTTCAGTTTGTTTCATAATAATAGCTGTTATATGTTGGACCCTTATGTGGCAGATATTAATGATCACT